CTCAGAAGCCCATGTTTGTAAGCTAAGGGGGAAAAGCTGGAAAAGCGAAGGTGTTGGTCCCCGCATATCACTTTTCGCCTATCCAGGATGTGCCCGTTTTGGGCGAAGGGAGTGGTGTTAGATATGACTAATTATTCCGTGAACAAACTTCGAACGAATGTGAATCTTTTACTGAGACCATCTCTGGAATTATGGTTAAATGGTTTCGCAGCTTAAACGTGAAGTGTGTCACCATCCCGTAGATAGCGGCCACCAGGAGCTGAAGTTCTCCCAATACTTCACGGGAATTCACAGACGCTTCTTTCTCAGATTGTGAATGACTTACTAAGAAAGACATTGTAACGTGTTTGAGCTTGTTTTGTACGATATAACTGTACTGATCAATTGATGATTTGTTGAAAACTAGCTTGCTCAATATTCGGCTGCAGTTTTTTTCGGTACTTACTTTTTGGTCCTCAGCTTTTCCACGTAAGTGGATGAAAGCCTTCAATAATCAATTTGTCTACTATGTATGACCTTGTCTGCCGACTGCGGTTGTTCGATTAACGAACGATTGTTCCTTGCACACGCCATCTTATAGAAGCAAACAGTTCAGATTGAAAGTTCCAGGAAAGAATCAACAGAGATCCTTGAGACTGGGAATATATTAACGAGATGATAACTGTTCTAACAGGCAAGGTGGTATATTGTTTTTAGAGCAATTTATCGGTGCGATACAGTCTACGTAGCATTACTACACGGGTTTAGTAGAACAAGTTCAGATGAACCGTGTGCGGCAGTCTTGTACTCAGTGAAGTACTTGACTTCGACAGAATGAGACATGCATCACACATGATCGGATATACTTCCTGCATGGACAACTGATTTTACAAGACTGGGAGTCATCTGTCCCGACTATGATGCTCGAAAGTGGATTGTTTCTCCTATTAAGGTAGTTACGTGACGATAGCATAGTCTAAGAAATAACCACCTGCATTTGCGGGGCACGAGCAGAGTACACGGGACTGAAACATCGTTGGTGAGGATATGACGTTTTGTGGAACCTGAAAGGTCGTGTAAACTGCGCCACCGTGTGGTCAGTCCTGGTTTACGGTTGCGAGACCGTAAGTTTGCGCATGGAAGATATTCATCATCTAGAAGTCTTTGGCTGTCGATATTTACGTAGTTTGGTCCGGGTTGGATGGAGCGTAAGCAACTCTGAGGTAGACCATCGAGCATTTGGTTGTCGTTCCGTGGAAAACTCGTTGCCACATCTAAGTCCGATTGTTCGGTTTCGCTACATAGGGCATACATTGCGCATACCAAGCTGTCGTTTACCGTACTGCGCCATATTTGCAGTTGCCGTTCCAGGTTGGAGGACGTCACGTGGAGGTCGGTAGATGTCGTGGAAACCGGATATGAAGAAATACACAGAACGATTAGGTATCGCATGTGTCTCCCGCCTTCCAGTTTGGGGTCCTCGAACTGGTTGGTTGGGGACATTGAAGGATATGACAACCAACCGACAGCAGCGGCGTTCTTGCTGTCACTTCTTATCAGGTTAGAATGCTTGAGTAGGTGTATGCACAGTTCCGTTGTGTAGTCTGTGGTGATCAGAATTTCACTTTCTTTGCCTCTCGCCAATCAAGCCGAATCCCTGTTCATCTTATATCATTACTTGCTTTGTGTACATTGTGAGCTTGACAGCGATCCGCGAAGTTCGCTTCACTACATCGCGCTTACGATGATAATGATGGATAAAGATTAAGGGTCACCAGACTGATAGACATTCGTACACTACTTATTACAACACAGCTCAGTTCAGAGTAGGAAAAATCACACTGTTTTCCACCTTTATGATAGGTAGCCCGTTTACACGATCTTCCGTGGTAACACATACGGGAAATATACTGCAAAATGGCATCCGCGGTGCCACTGAACCTTTTCTCTTATTCGACATTCAGTATTAAGACAACCGTGGGTAGAATATTTTACCGACCCAGTACAGAGTTACTTACCATTACTTGTGGGATCATGGATAACTGTAATTCATTCATATCACCACCTGTCTCATTCACCAAACTATAAGTAATCGCACAGATGTAACCAGTATGCGAAAAGATGTGACGAGTTGAGCAATGGTACAATAAAGATAAGAACCTATGCGATGAAGCTGAGTAGCAAAGGGAGAAGCTGCAGGTAACAGATTGTTACCATTGGCATTGTGGATTGAATGTATTAATCAGCCAGGGAATGACAGAGAAAATATGATTTCTGTTAGCTAGTGATTAGGTTCGAATTTAATTTTGCTATTCAGGTGAATACTGATACTTCTTTCACCATGATTACCATTGTTAAGTATCTTGTCAAGTGTGCATTTCAATGTCAGAAATATGTAAGCAATCGCATTCGATTCAACGGAATCGGTTTTATTCGAGAGAAACTCGGCCTCAATGGAATTTACTCATTGGGTTACTGAGGGCTTAGACTGACTCCACTCATGCAATGAATCCTGCTCACATTCGCGTCTGGGCATGGTGACCGACTTATCGATCCATCTTGACGTGATTCGCTTCCTTACCCGACCGACAGAGGTCAATTAACTCCGGGTTCGTTCATTCGTACGTATGACGCACACTCGATCAACGATCACGAACATGACGTCCCCGGGTAGAACGTGTGTGTGTGTTCAATAAGATTTATCCAGGTTTTCTTTTTTTGGTGAATAGATTCCGTTACTGTCAACTTTTAGGAACAGACTGCAATCAGTCGATGGTTGTCCGGGGGGAAAAAAAGAAGCAGGAAACACATGATCCCCGATAGTGGTAACCGGAACAGAATCTGTTCGCGTTATATACTATAGACTGATGAGAAAAGAACAGGCTGTGTCTTGTAGCTTGCTCATTTTTAATACAATTTGGTAAAGTACACAATCATTTGCACCGGGTGATACACTTTTGAGCGATGAAAGTGAAACCGAGAAAAATGCTGTTCATCAGAAGCCTAAAGAACAGAAAAGACTGGTCAATTCAACCGATACAGGCAGATTGGATAGGACCGACTAAAAAGCAATGAATGATCATTCGGGTCGCTCATCCGTGGAAGACTTGTGCACCTGATCCACAAAAAGCTTCACTTTATCTGGATCTACATCTGGATAAATTCCGTGTCCCAGATTCACGATGTAGCGTGACGAGCTGAACTGTTGGAGCATTTGGTTGATCAACGAGCGGAGTTCATCGTTTGGGGCGTATAGAGCACATGGATCCAAATTGCCCTGTTGTAGGGAAGGAAAAGCAACAATTGTCAGTCGGTGTCTAACAGGCGAGCTGTCGGGGGCTAATATGTATATACTTGATTTATAACTTAACTGCAAGTAGTGTATGCGTGAGATCTGAAGAGGGTTTGATGGATCAATGGGAAGCGTGGAGCAGCCAATGGTTATCGTTTAAGATCCATTGGCATCGTTGCGACTGCTTACTCAAAGTGTGTAAGTCCATTGTATGAAATCATTTACTTTAACACAATAAACCTATGCATAAATCAACGGAATGAAAACTATTTCCGTAAAAATAGCCACATATGTGAATAAATCAGTGGTACACGATCATTCTAGATTTCGGTTTAAGCCTCATGATGAGGCCATTCCCATTGTGGTACATTTCTTCATTTTATATGAAAAAGAACAGGTTCTTGCCAGAACACTCAGAACATGCAGATCAGTTCAGTTTGTACAACCATTAACCATGCACTATCGTGAGCCGGTTTTGGTTGTTGTCTTTTGGCTGCCCATTTGGATGTACATTAGGGGAAAGACAGGAAAGGTTGAAAGTAGGATCAACGAGAAGATTTAGAAGTTCGGTGGATTAATGTTGCAGATCATATGATAGGACCACTCGAATGAGCTTATCTTGCGGAAAAGTCAAAGTGGTAAACAAACTCATTTTTAGTGCTTCATTCAATAGTCGAATACAGCACTCTTTTACAGGTTACAAACATGAGTTAGTGAAACTGAAACGAGGTGGATCGTATTTACCTGTGTCCATGTGTGTATCAGTTCAGGGGATGTATGGGAGTTCAAATGATTCGACAAAGTTCATATGCATTATCGAGTAAGTCATAATTGATTTGTAACAGTGATAACGGTAAACACAGGACCCTGACTAACTACTTTTGTAGAAAACGGTATTCGCGAAGAAATTTCTTTTCGATATATCGCATCAGGTGTTTACATATATAATGTGATCACAATACAGATGTCTGATTGGCCGATTAGAGCTCAGTTAGTAACGATGACAGAGGCGAGCAAACAGATCAAACGAATATGACAAGGCTAATTAGATAGTCGTGGGTGGGGGTGAGAACGGACAAACGTTCGAGAGATGAGCAGATTAAATGAAGGTTGTGAGCTAAGACGAGAGAGCGGAATGAAGTTACGTAATATACGGTAGAAACTATAGGTCATGTATAGCAAGTGATGTAATCAGGAAGGGACATTAGAGAAAAAAACAAGATAATTAGTTCTTAAGATTGAGGTTGGTTGGTGATAGTATAGACGAGGAAAGAGGGACGGGGGGTTGATGCTCTACTTTTGAATACACAAAGGGGGTTGTTCGACCGAATTGCGACCACTGGGAGTTGACAGTAAGCCATGCTTGACCTGCTTTGGTCGCACTCCGATGATCGTGCAAATAGGTCTGAGAGAATTCATTAACACTGAAATAAGGCTCCGTTTCAATTAAATGAGGGACAATTAGAGTCCCCCAATCCATGACCAGGTTATCTGAGATGGTGCTCTCTAACGCGTTCGAACAAGTGCCGGGTAGTAAGATCAGTTTAGATCGCTCCACACGAACACAATTTTATTAACGATTAAGCTTACTTTCAGTTTAAGCTCCTACAACCATTAATCATGCACTTTCATGTGGCGGTTTTGTTTGCTGTCTTTTGCTTAACCCATTAGGATGGAGTAGAGAAAGAATTGGAATTTTGAAAACAGTGCTAAGGTGAAACCAGAGAATTTATGTACACTAAGGTTGCAAGGATTTCGAGCACGAGCGCCACAGTTGATGGTACTCAGTTATTCGGCTACGGTGATCCTGAAATCACCATCCAATGTATATATATATATATATATATATATATATAT